ACTCAATTTAACATTTGAACTCATTCAAAACCACTTTATATCATCATTGATATTTTTTATTTATAGCGTATAGAAATACGCTATAATCGTGATACTTCAGTTCGTTAATATTTACGTTTGCTTTTAGTATGGAAGTGATCGATGTACCATACACTAGATTTAATTTAATTACAGACAGTTTAATACTACGTTATCGTAGTATTTTGTTATAAAAATATGTGTAATTTTTTTCGATAATCATTTGGGATAACAGCAAATACTGTAGTTGGACGGGCTACTATTGTTCATTGACAATTAAAATATTGATTACTAATCAATGGTACTAATAGCAATAAGTTGGTTGTCATGTATTTCTATAGTTGATTTTTTATAGTCAAAATCAAATGGGTATTATCAAAAATTGTATCAATAATGGGCTAAAGTGTGAAATAATTATGTTTTTAAACTGCTGTTTAAATACTAGAGAAATACACGTGTGCGGTAAGAACTATCCGAAAAGTAAAACGATGTGCCGATGTACGTTATTGCTTTGACGCGAGTTAATAACATTTATCGACGAGTGCAATGAACTCATGAGGAAATATTAATACAACCACGTAATCTGATTGTTGTATACGTATGTGTGTATTTCCCCTTCGAATGCTCGTTTGTCGTACTCTACTGGTTAGAATAATAAAAATCTTACATCTCTTCCACCCGAATCACCGAATGGTATTTGTACAGATGCGTATTAAAAGCCGTCGTTAGTTCGTGAGTTACCAACGTTGTGTATATGAAAAATAAATCGATTTTCAAACGGTGACGGTTACAAATCAGCTATACGTCTGTGGACTGCGGGTTTACTTTTTTTGGACAAAAAAACAAATGGAAATACCATTTTGACTTGACGCACACATATACACACTATATATATATACAGTTATGTATTTTAGATAGGGGAGATGATTCCCGGGTTTCGATCCCCCCCCAGAAGAAAAAGAGGTTCGAAATTCGTAAACGATTCACTACGAAAGTATACAGAGAAAGAGAACATCAATTATAATAAAAATAGAATAATATAATTATTGGTTCATACCTTCTATGTATTTTTTGTAATATTTTAAAACCAATTATTTATTAGAAAAATTGAAAATACGACGCCGTATGTATATAAATATATGTGTGTGTGTGTTAAAAATTACGAAATACGGAATCATGGTTACTCTTGTAGGCGATACCGAAACGGGTGGGGGGGGGGCAGAAAAAAGCGACGAAAGAAAATTACCACGCTGCCTCAGGGGGTTGAAATGTGAAGGGGGGTGATGGATAGAGGGCTGGAGGTGACCATTTATCATTATATGCCCACCGCGTGAACGGAGCGCGCGCCCTCTTTTTTCTTTGCACCCATCCTCCCCCTCCCCAGTTTGTGCTGCATGTATACACATATAACATATCATATATATATATAAATAAATATTTTGTATGTACACGAAGAGAAGCGCGCGCTATATGTAGCTGCTAACCCCTCGGAATTACGAGTGCAACGACCCTGCTGTATTTTCCCCCTCGTCACCTTCGACGACGGTACGCGTACAAACGCTAGCTCGATGACGACCGATGTGTACTCTGTGTGTGTTCGTCCGGCCGCCGCGTGTGCCCTTTCGCCGGTGGTAACGGCGGCGGCTATGGCGACGATCACGGGAATGCTGTGCGCGTTTTCATTCATTCGCTCTCGCCGCCGCCGCCGCCTCGCATTCCTGTCCACTTTTTCTCCGTCGCATAATAATATGCGTACCAGCGCATACCGATAGAGAGAGAGAGAGAGAGAGAGAGAGAGAGAGAGAGAGAGAGAGAGAAAGTGTGTGTGTGTGTGTGAGAGAGAGAGAGAGAGAGAGAATTTTGCATTCCGAAGTGTTATAAGAACGGAAATTCTTCGTCGAAAGTCGGATACCACTACCGTTACCACCACGCACTGTTTCGACAATGGACGAGTCTGCCGTCGCTGTATCCGCAGTGTACCAGTTGTTGTACGCGTGTACAAGGCGATCTGTCTGGTCCGGTGCTAACGACACGCACCGCGCGGTGGTTGGTGGTGAATGCTGCTGGATAACGGCGACATATTTTTATACGTCTATACCATACTCAACACTGTCATGCAAAAAATACTTAAATTTTAATCTATCAATAAGGATGAACTCGCAAACTACTCGACCAATTGTAATACGATTTACATAGAAAAATGTATTGGAACCTGGGCAGTGTCATTGGTTTTATACTTATTATTTTCTTATCGTTCGCCAAAGGGAAGGGCCCGTTGTAATTCGATGTACCGCTTTTATTTAACAACTCAACGAATTCTCATACTCAATTATTCAATTTCTTCAATTATTATAAAAATTTGTTTGTTTTGAAAAATGTTCTTCTTTTACAGCTAGTTATACAAGATACCTAGTTATCCACGATCGTTTTTTTTCAGTTGAAAATTATAGAACTTATTTTTTAGAGTACACTTTAAGATCATTACTAAGACAATTTTTTTTACTTGATGGTAGGTACATGTTTTGGTTTAACTTAAGTCTATACAATGTTATTAATATCAATCATTTACTTACTTTATCTTCGAAAATCGGTTTATCTACTTACCCTTCTGATTTCATATTGATAAAAAACATATACATGATTATATTTAAAAAATATTTGACAAAGTCCGGTAATTTATAATATTTAGTAACCCTGTGCACTACACACGTATAACGTATTTTTCGTATTATATAATAAATATATTGATATTGATTGGATGGATCGGAAGGAATTGGTAATGAATAGGGAAATTTGGAGACAAATCTGTTAAACTGAACGACATGTTCTTGAAGGCTAAAGTCAAGAAAAAAGAAAGAATGAAATATATATTATTTAGTGCGATGTTTTTACAGGCGCCGCCATCGCCGAGGTCAATATACGCTCTGCTCCCGTGAGTCAGGCAAAACAATATCGCAGTACTCCGGCGGCAGGCAGTGACTCACACACGTGGTGCTAAGTGCTCAATCATAAATATTATTTTTACGAATTTCGTTCCTAATCTGGTCTGAAGTTTTTCTATGGTGAACACACATTGCAAAATATGACGAAATAAATCTCGTAGACGTGCTGTCTGTTCCAATTCTATGCAATCCGCAGTTATGTGGTTATAATAATGGTACATATATTGATCACACGACAAGAAAATGTGACGTCTTATTTACTTTTGATGACCTCACATAAGGAAATCGTGATAATACCTATCGTGATCGTACCTACACAACCGAGCGTACCTGTTATATAGACACAATTTAGTGAGTGAAGTTAGGTTAGGTTAGGTTATAGCCCAACAGTGTGTGTGCAGTACCAGCTCAGATTTGATGAGGCATTTTTCCCGCAGAAAATTCCACTTGATAAGTACATAAACGCTTGTGTTAACTGTTAAAATCAACAAGTCACGACGACCTTCGGGACTTTACGTTCGTGAATCATTATCAAAACGAACACTCTGACGAATATATATACTCCTATCTGTTTACACTCAACGATGAACACATGATAATTATTATTAACAATAACTTTTAGTTTTTGTTTATAAACCATAAGTCATAACTTATACCCAATCTCATTTTGCAAGCTTCTTTTATTACTTACTCCTAGTTACTCCTACTCAGTGGCATAGTTACGGAGAGGTTGTAAGGGGTTTCTACCCCTCCCCAGATTTTTTTTTTTATGATATTTGATTATTATTTATTGATATTTACATATTTTAGTAAAATATTTCGATTTTACTATGATTAGGTATTTATTAAAAATTGAATAACAAAATTATTTTCATTAAATACGGGACATAATAATAATAACATTTTAAATTTAATATTATTTATTACATATGACCTTGTTTTAAGATACACTAAGAACACTTAAAAACTTAGTCTTAAACATCCCCCCCAGAAAATAATTGTATCTACGCCACTGCTCCTACTACTCTTTAAGTATCTCTTCTCTGCCGCGTCGGCACACGTAACTTTTATATTTTTGTGGTGCTCGGTGTCGTAGGTCCAGTATTTATCACAATTATTTATTAGATAATTAAGTTTAAAACTATACAGATTTAATACGTTTGTATTCTATATTTCCCGTCGTGTTATTTATAACAGTAAAACTAGTGCTTGATTAATAAAATAACACGGTTTTCTTAGTCTACTAAATTTGCTCTGTTTGATTGCATTGTACACTTATGGTTGTTATATTTTAAGTTTATAATTTTGTATATCTAATGTAATTTTAATACGCAAATGCGTAACACGGATTGCTAGCGGACAGCAATGGTCAAACTAAAATTCAAACGAGCCAGAAAAATTGAAAACTATGTTCGACATTAAAACGAATTTCAACGGTGCTGCGTAACGGAACGCGTTAGCAAGCGCTAATAATAATTTCACCTATCGCGTTTTTCATCACGTTCATTGATAAGCAATTCATTTTCCGACGATGACGGGAGAAGAAACCGCTGGTTGGCGAATGGCGAACGGGTGGAGGAAAAAAATCTGCGAGATTATTCGCCGCGAGGCCTGGGACAATTTTTTCTCCGAGTCCGGTCGGTGGTACACGAGACTATACGCGCCGAGGATACGAAGACGACGACGGGCAGCGGCGGGAGAGCGAGACAGACGGAGAGCAAAGAAACCGAACCGAAGGAATACGGAGAATAGGGGAAAAAACGGCAAATAGAAACCGTACGGTAGAATGGAATGCGTGTCGTACAAAAGAGAACACAACCGTTTTGGCGGGCACTTAGAGCGCAGAGGATCCTCGTGGACGAGCCGAGCGGCGGTGGCGGCGGCGGAGGTGAAGGCTTGCTGCGCGTGCGCGCGCGTGTTTTTATGCGGTCGACCTGCCCGGCGCGCGCGCGGCGGTGTGGTGGGAACGACGACGATTTTTCCCTCCTCCCACTTCCCACTTCGCGCAGCGTTCGTTGAAGCCGACGAGAGTGCGTTGAGCTCGATCGGAGGAGACGACGACGCGACCGACCACCGGCAGACGGCAGTCTACTACAATCAGTGTTCACTTGCTGTCGTGCGTACGCATTCGCTCTAGTGAAATTTTCGTTCTACACCAATTTTCTTCCGAAGTTAATCGACCCTTTCGCGTTTCCCATCTTCCCGTATTTTTTTAATCGATAACATAACTCGTCATTACATTCGCTTTACCATTTTCATCCAAACCTTAGAGGTATAGTGCAGCATTTCATTTCACGTTCGGTTTCATTCTGTGTGCACAACGCGCGCATTCGCCTAACGCGGAATTAAACAATTTATTATTTTAAGAAATAATAAAATATTGACGGCATTACCACGGCTTCGAAAACACTACTTCGCGGTCGCGCCATGTCGAGACGTCGGCGTCGTTAATCCGACGACGTCGGTTTGTTTTGCCGCTCTTCGCCAGCGTCGCACCGCGTAATGGATACCAAGACGTCTACTTATCATCACCATCACCACATACACCAACAGACGAAAAAACAAACTTCAGCCGCCGGGGTCATCGTAAGATCGCGTCCTGTGCAGTTCGCGCAGACGTTGGCCCGGGTGTTACGTATCGGCCGTAAAGAGCAGATATCGAAAAAAGCCGCCAACAAGGTACATACACACACACACACACACAAACACATTTCTGCATAACTTCTTAGCTGTCCACAATATTCACTGTACATACTTGATATGTGGATATTATATTCCGCCCGCGCGCACGTGTACAATTGCAAAAGGCGGACAATTTTCCCGCGCCCAGTCGCGTATTTTTTTTTCGCTTCCTTTTTACCACCCTCCGAGGATTCGGTGCAGGTCGAGGCCCCGATGACGAGCGCGTGAGTAGCGCTTGCGCTTTACGCTCGCCGTCGTTTCCATCGCGCTTACACCATATTACGTCACAAACTACTCGTGACGTGTGTACGCATATTTTATACACGACCGGATGCTGACCTGCTGGCCAACTGGTTACGGGATTTGAATGTTTGAACTGTTTTCATTTATACATAAAAATTAGTTGCTTTTATTAAAACACCAGTTCCTCCCAGGGATGTGGTCGGCCACGTTTACGATTAACAAACGTACCTCGTCAAAACACATTTTTTGGCTCGTTCGGGGCCGATCAATTTTCCGTGCGTTCGTCTTGTCCGCGTTGAAGGCGATAATCAGCTCGTTACTTCGCGCGCGCGTGTCACTCGGGCAATACCGAGCGAGGAATGCGCTGTGCGCGTTGTGTAATAAATAATAACAATAATGTAACGAACCGCGCGCCCGTGCATGTGTATACCGCCGCAGTCGTGGACAATGACCCACATACCTTAGGAATGAGAAATGCGACGGCAGCCGTTTTTTTTCACAATTAGTTTCGCTCCTTTGTATAATGTTATGATTCGTAGACTATAGTTCTTCTGTACAGGTTCTCCAGTCGCATCTCAGTTTGTCCATAACGCCTTAATACATCATTGTTGGTCTTATTGTTTTTACAATTTTTTTTTTTTGCACAGTTTAGCACGACGTATAACGGTACGTGTTCAGCCAGACGCACATTCGGCTTAATAATTTCGTTGGAAATAAAATAGGTCGTGTTTTGTCTGCTGCTAAAAGAGAGAAAGAGGAAAGCAAGTGTGTATCGGTGTGATTTGATTTCGCATTACATTACGAATTATCGCGGTTACTTGACACGTTTGTAGATAACAATGTAATAATAGTATTCACAATCATTCTTAACATTCGGGGATCCTATGGTGGGAGATGTTCTCTGGTGTATGTTTCATAAGTATCAGACGCAGACAGTTGGCCAGGTGCAGCCGGCAGCCCGGTGTACGTAAGGCGCGAAGGTTCACCTTTTTAATGCCATTTGTGGTCACTTGATTTTCATATAATAGGCATTTTGCCGACGTATGAATATTTCCTGTAGCCAGTTTTGTTCAAAAGTAAAACTGTTTAGAATTTCTCGCCGTACCTATTACTCAAGAATACATTTTAATAATAAAAAATTCATCCAAAATGTATTTTAATTTGTATACAAACTAAAGTTATAACTTATTATTTATCATTTTGTGTGACATGTGTATTAATCAAGGTAATTATTACTAATTATGACATTTTACCTAATTAATTATTTTATATTTAACTATATCCGACTTCGATAACAAGAGGAAAAAAAGCTTAGTCATCGGTATTTCAAACACACCAACGCCAAGCCCCGTGAGTGTAACACGGGAAGCACTGAGCGATTTGTTCACGGAGTTACTGGTCTTTAATAAAATAATATAACCTTTATAGAATTATAGAAATCCAGTGACCACCGCTGTCGGCATTAAAATATGTAGTGAACCGCCAAAGTGCCGCTAGAAAGCCGCCGCCTCGAAGCCATCGGTTAACGGATACGGTGGCGGATAACAACAACAATAGGGGCTCAATGTACTACGTTTTTTTTTTTTTCCTCCGCCACAGATCCCTGGGCCAGGTGCGAGAGGTGAGACGGCTGACGTCCCAGACAAACTCGCTAGCACAACGGCGTGGCTGCTGTACACCTGCTTTCACCGGGCGGCGTTGTACACGCTTTCACTTACCTTAGCAGCGAGCATAATAAATCAGAATCGTTACGTCGCACGTTCACGTGATTCGCGTTTCTGCGAACTAAATAAATGTTACTTCACGGTTACCGCGACCGCACCGCTGTCGGTGATAAAAATAAAAACAATCTATTTATGGTGGGAAAATCCGTCCGCGTACAAAGACGTTCACCGTAGTCGCCGCCGCCGCCACGTGTGTGTGTGTGTGCGTATTTTTATTACCGCGTAAATATTTTATTGTAATTATTATTATTATTATTATTATCTTACTACTGGAAAAAGAGAGGGAAAAATGCGCGGGCTGTTTGTGTGTATACTACTAGATTACGTGTATATGTATAAATATACACACACACACACAAGAAACCTGCGCGCGTCCGTGAAGATGGCATTGAACTTGTCGTCGACCCCGGTGGCCCTCGCCGTCTCTTCACACCCACCCCGCTGCCCTCGCAGGGCCGTTCACACCGTCGTCGCCACATGTCCTTGCGTGCTTCGTCGCAGGGTTAATAGCCGCTGTTACTGCTGCCGCTCAGGTGGGGGGGGGAGGGGAACAAATGACGATGACTCCCCGGTAGGTGCCCCGCCACCACTGGTATTGTCCTTGACGCACCACGTTCACGCGCTGCACATGGATCCGGTGTTATTGTACGAGACAAGTTTTTATGCGAGAAAACGGTGTGCGTGATTGAAAAACAGAATGTGATGTTACGAAATGAAAGAATAGGGTTGTTGAGAGAGAAGGATAGATTCACATACGAATTTAATAGACAAGACCGCTTATTGGATGTACCATGGGAAAGTGAAAAATTCCATTTTGGATATTCCACACCGTGTCTGCAAAAATTAGTCCGTGAAAGTCGACCTCGTTGATTTGTAAACAAACCGTAAACAACGGAACAACAACAACTACGAAGACAACACTGCTGCAGACGAGACTGCCTTGGGCGTTGGCAAGGTCGCCGCTGCCGTTCTTTGTACATCCGGAAAACAAAATTAAAATATTCCAAAGTAGAAAATAATTCTTTTAATTAAATTTTCTTTTCCCGTTCAGATATTTGTTTTAAACTCATACGAGTGTGATGCGCGTACGCGACCCATTACATATTCTTGACTTAAACGTTTATTGTACTGTTATTTATCACGCGTTTCCGTGATTTACAACCGTCAATCGTTGCCACTACACCGTATTAATGTTACTACTATACGTACGTGCTCTCGCGTCCGGTTCAAGACGATATTGTTACGTCACACGCGTCGACACCGGATCCCCCACGAGAGATAACGTGCGCGCGAGAAATTATTGAATGACGCAATTCGGGATGCGTACGCGGCCGGCGCGTGCGGGCGTTTGTGTACTACGTACAAACTACTCTCGACAATAACGTTAGTGCGTGTATGTGCGTGGTATCCGATCGCGCGTCAATGTTTGAATGAAATGCGTTGCCGTCGACAGCGATAACAAACAATGCGCGCGCGACACACACACGTACGTACATTATACGTATAGCGACACAGAAAAGGCGCTTTCGGTGCCACCGAATTAATTTTACGACTATTATTATTATTATTATTATGCTCCCCGTCTTGCATACGAACTACGTGCACTTGGTACTCTTCTGCGGGGTTTTTTTTTTAAAGATTTTTTTTTTTCAATTGGTGGTATATACCGAACTGACGTTTATGATGAAAACAACATCGTGTTTTGTGTTAACCGATACATGGTGTGCGTGCCATTCAAAAAAAAAAAAATCTGTCAGAGCTCACACTAATCGAGGCGGCAACGACGTCAGCCAAGAGAGACGTTTCGACAAAAAAAAAATTTAAGATATCTTTCCTCGATCGCGTTTATTATAATGTACTTTTTATGTTTAGTCTAAACCCCTTACGATGAGAGATGTTTTTCAGAGAAATCATTTCTAATCTATTGTTGTCCGGCGGTAATGGTAACCGGATTAAACGTCGTATTTTCGTCGTCACATTTCGCTTTGACCTATTATCTAGGACTCCGTGTACTATCAGTTATCACGTGGAATTCGAATGGTGTGCGGATCTCCTTCGTCCCCCTGAACCGTGTCTATAGGTTTGTTTGATGTTCGAGTACAATACGAGTCGCTTGCACCACAACAATGAAACGAAATAATAATAAAAATACCGCTGACTAAGTGTATGTCGCGCTCGATCCGCACACGTTATGTGGGTGAAGGTTGCCGTCGTCGTCGATACCGCGTTTTGTACGTACGAAATACTGTTTTATAATTATGTATGCGCGTGCATACTTCTCTTGTACGTATATACGTACTGTATAGTCTATCGCGATAAAGTTGTTCGCGTGCGATTTATTTTTTTCTAGTCGGTAGGGCGGAGGAATGCGTAATGGGAGAAAAAACTAGGTCGAATTTTCATTCCTAAGTTGCGCAAAACGCCGCTGCAGTTGAGCTCACGATATTATTATTTTTTTTTCTGTGTAGTTGTTTACTTCGGGTCACCGCCGTCGAATTTCGAACGCTTGGAGTATATATAGGTCATCACCACCATCGTCGTCGTCGTTACTGTATATATAAACCGGCCTATATTTTAAGTATTAGTTTTATGTACACGCGTAATATCGTCATTGTACCGCGTGCTTGTCATGAGCGAGCACAAAAACTGTTTAAACTATTAGTTTTACGACTACAGACGTAGAAAGGGGGGGGAGACGTTTCGAATTAAAATAAAAATAAACGCACGTGTCCGAATCGACAGTCGTTAAAAACCGTAATGTATACACACACACACACACAGGTGTATAGCATGTACGAATAACATTGTAATGGGTCGACACGTGAAAAGCCCAATTGATATATTGCAAGTAAGTTATATTAGCGACGATGGCGAACGAGAACCGCCTTTTGGCCGTTCACCAACAAAACGCATAGTAATAATAATCTTCGGCGAACACCGTATCCGGTACGTTTTTTTTATACCTAGACTGAGTGGCTAGGCAGCAGTGATGATGTATCGTAATGAGATGTTGTGTTATTCTTATTTACTTAATTTATATAACGTTTTTCTTCAAAGACGACCTACGTCCGTGAAAACTTATTGAGGTACAGAATAAAAATTGTATTGCGAAAATTCCCCGAGATTCGTGAAAAGAAGTACTGTTTCTCGAAGATCCACGTTTGTCGAAGGGGCGTACTTAAAGGTCCTTGTCTTCTTAATTATTTAGTTTTATCATTAGGATATCGAACTTAGTTGATAATTCTGTTCTTTCGAAGTAGAAAAAATCGTATGTCCGTGATGACGAGATTTTTTTTTTGCATCTGCGTCAGTAAACGTACTCCTTGCGCTCTCCGCCATACGCGTGTGGCTCGCCAGCGAAGAAGATATGTTTACTTCTCCCCGAGGACGAGTAGACTTTTGATGGTGTACTTAAATAATACGAAATTAACCTTTTACATTTTTCTCCCGACACGCGGAAGTGTGTCGTATTTTCGATTACGTCATAGTCGTCGCCGCCGTACGCGAGCTTACGGAAGATAGGGTTGTTTTATTTACACCCACTCGCGTCGTCGGCGGCGGCGCGTTACACACCGCCGGATCCCACGCAATTACGTCACGGGCGTAACGCCCGCGACACACTGACACCGATGTTGTCTCGACGCTGCCACGGTAGTAAGTGTAGTATAGTATTGCGTGCTGTTGCGAAAAGCTGTCGTCGTTGTAGTTCCGCCATTTTCCTCGTCGATATCCTTCGCCAATCGTACGTATATGTTAACTTCTTTTCTCCTCTCCCCCCTCGCCACTATTCGTGGTGATCATCTGCCTTTCTACTACGATTATATTACAGTTCTCTTATTTTGTTTGTAAATACTTTACCTACTGTTTTTGCACCCGTGTAACACATTCCGCATAGGACATCGCTCTACGCGTGCACGTATATAATGCGCTCGCGCGCGCGCGCGCGTGTGTGTGTGTGTGTGGTTAGTTCTATGTTCATGCGCGGGTGGCCGCCAACAGCCTGTGCCTCCTTCGACTTTCATCATACGTAACATTTTTGACGTTCTGAAATAGAGACGTGCATGCCTTAAGGGACGTAGAGTGTGCGCGGCGTGTCTGGTCCATGGCAGTAGCCGGGCATTCCGTTTGGCACGACACTCCGTCTGGCTCGGGTCACGGGGTCATGTGCCGTCTGACCGTGGTCCAAAAACCTAGCGCCTTCCGAAGTGCTCACGCGCTAAGTGAATATATTCTATGGTATACTTTTTGGTCTGCTCGATAATTTCCCAGTTCATCCGAATGTTTTGTCCACAGTTTTGTCGTTAAATCGTTACTGTTCGTATACTACCTATTATCGCAACACGATATCCGACTGACGCGGAATCATAAAAATGTTCTCTACTGCTGCGAATAGCGAATCTCACGAGTTGTATTTGTAATTTTGCATGTAGGATAACATTATGTGGTAAATATGAATCATCGGTCGTAATCGATAGAGAATTACAAAACAAACACCCGTATTATCCACATATATTCCACCCCGCCCACCGGTATCCAGAAACACATTATATTTTTTTTATTATTATGCATTTACTTTGTTCGGCCTTGCAAACTATGTGCCGAATGTACTCGACACGGAGGAGGCCGCCGAGGCGTCTTTTATTACGTAAACCGTATGTATTCGAACACGGTTTCCAAACAAAGGTCCCGCGCAGCGTATTTTTCGCACGTCTCTCATTAACGACGATTGTGGCAGCGGCGGTTGCGCATAATCCATGCACCACCGCTATTACCTATATTTATATTGTATACGCGAAAAACAATGCTATTTGATCTTACAAGGATGACGGCGGCCGCGTTAGCAAAACGTTTTAAGCATTACGCGTATTTTACGGTTATGTCTTTTTATTTTTTTTTTTTTAATTTAACGTTTAGTGTTTCGGTCGTCGCGGCTACAGCCGTCAGGCGGGAGGAAACGCTTACGTCGGGCGATGAGCCAAATGACGTCAGCGGCCTCGGCCGCCGGTGCAATTTTTTACGCTTCTCTCCGCTCGTGTGTGCGTGTGTCGTGTCGAGGCCGCGACGGCGGGTGTTCGATTTCCTCGACGACTCGGTTGCTCTCTCTCTCTCTCTCTATGTCTATCTATGTCTCTCTATGTCTCCGTGTGCGCCTTCTATCTCACTCTCTGTCCTTCCGCACGCGTGTGCCTGCGACTTGCAATTTATTTATTAGTTTTTACTTTTTTTTTTTTCTGTTCTCTCTTCTTGCCGCTCATTGAAACTTCTTTTATTTTCACAGATAGCAGCAGCTAAATCGTCTGCCACCGCGTACCACCACCAACCGGTACCGCCGCCGCAGACGCCGCAACAAATCGTCGCTATGCCGCCACCTCCGACCATGCAACCGGCATCGCCTCTACCGCCGGCACCGTCGACGCAGGACACCCAGACGTCTCAGGTGGTACAGGTCAACGGCGGTCAGTCTTTGACCGCCGACAATACGGCCAACAGCACCATGATGCCGGTGACGAAACGTAGTCCGAAAGACTACATTTTTGGAAAAGTCATCGGTGAGGGCAGTTACTCGACAGTACGTATTACAGAACATTTAATATATTATTGTATCACACTCGCAAACGACATCGGACACACAAACACACGCTGATATTATCTCATCATCTATGCGGTTTTACTTTTCGTCCCTGGACAAACATCGTCGTTGCACACGCACCGTATACCGTGCGTGTAAATGCAATGCAGCAATACAATAACAATTATCTTATTCTACCGTCGTCTTAATCGCGGGATGCTATTGCAATGTGCGGTCGATCCGGTGACCTTCACCACTATCGTGTTTGGTCACTCTATTTTTATGTCTTTTTCTTTTTTTTTATTTCGCACGCGCTTCGTTGTCGTAAATATTATCATCAGTCATCACACCATAGCGCCAACCTTTCAACGTACTCGTGAAATCTATTATCACATCGACACGCGCCACTTGTTCCGAGCGTCGATCGCGCTCTGGCGTGTATGCGCGCACACCTTACGTGGTCGCGCACGCGTTTTTCTATCTTAAGGAAAAAAATTCTGCCATTACAATGACACATTATTGTTGTCGTGTTACGCGCTTGGTGCATAAGCGACGGTGACCGACCCAAATGTCCTTAAAAAGACCTTTAACTCGTATCAAAACATTATATTACAGTGCACCGCTGCCTTCGACGTGTGTAAACCATTGACCTTGGTAGTGACTGTTTTTAGATCGGTTCAGTGACCGACGTTATCATCACGCGCGCGCGCGCGCCTATACACATTCATTTTTAAACTATAATTGATTAATAATATTTTATCATATTCTATTATTATAACCGTGTATTTTAATGCTTATTTTTAAATTTTCCAGGTGTATTTGGCCAAAGACATTCACACGAATCGTGAACATGCAAGTGAGTCTATTGTTTTTATTACTTCATGTACACATTATGTAGGCAACTCATAATATTTAGGGTCTTATCGGAATGTTCACAATGAAAACTAAAAAAAAACTAACGTTATAAAATATGTATGCTATTCGATCGATCGAAAATAATAATTGAATATTTGGTACTGCACACGTTTATTTATTTTCTATGCGCTTTGTGCATTGTATTGGAATTTCTTTTATGATTTTAAACTCTGTACCATTATATTAACTAAACAACGACTGCGATGAGTTTTCTCAGTTTTCCAACCTTCGATGGTGACGAGTAGTTATTCATTTTTTCAGACACGTACATTATCATTGAACCCGACGATTACGATAACGTGTGTAATAAGAATTACTTATTACTCTATGTAATGTGCTCATTTGTTGGTTATTAATATTTATACGACTTATTTTTCGTTCTTAATTAGTACCATTTAGGTGTAAGGCGTTACACCGGTGTTAATTCGGTCATCGGCTTCATTGCACTTGTTTCTTAAGTTTTTCTGTTGGAGATAACGGTAGAATTCGAAATTCTGTAAAATTTTCATCGGATAAAGCCTTTATTTTCGCTAATAATTTGGTTTCGGTATCTCTTCGTAATGAGGCGCACCGATGGCGTAGTATATTTAATAACTCTCTTGTTCGAAATGACCGTTTAAATTCATTTTTACCGCTCCAATAGCGTATAAGAACCTAAAACCTATAAAACCTTGTTTTCGTCGTCTGAATGTATTTATAATGATTGTAGTCTTGTAATAAAATAATTTTTAATATTGATAAGAGCTGCGTATTATTTTGCATATTATTACTAAAACGTGGTTTATTTCTCTTACTGGATCTATAAATAATAAACTGCTTTTGGTTTGACTGATGAGCAAATTAATAATTTTTTTTTTTTTACAGTTAAAGTTTGCCAAAAAAAGCAAATCATCAGAGAAAACAAACGTGACCAAGTAAAACGAGAAAAGGACGCTCTAAATGTGTTGAGCAATTCTGGATCCAGCTTTTTTGTCAAGTTATACTGCACTTTCCAAGATACCGAGAGACTTTGTATCCTTTTATTACTATGTGCAATTTTAAATTATTCAACAATGTTAAATTATGACTTTAGCGGTACAGGTGTACCACTACTTACTGTAGTTTTTTCCTTAACATTTACTTGCAGACTTTGTAATGTCCTATGCTAAAAATGGTGACATGTTACCATACATTAATAAAGTTGGTTCGTTTGATGCGGCGTGCACTCGGTTCTACTCTGGTGAAATATTACGCGCTCTTGAGCACTTACATGATCTGAATATCATGCATAGAGATCTTAAGCCCGAGAACATATTACTTGATCATAATTTGCACATTAAAGTTGCGGATTTCGGGTGTTCAAAGATACTTGAACAGCCAGACACTGCAGACAAGTCCATTTTGAATGAAAATAATCCTAGACCGCGCAGTAACAGTTTTGTTGGCACTGCTCAGTATGTTAGTCCTGAACTGTTAACTGAGAAAACAATTTCACCCAGTTCAGACCTTTGGGCTCTTGGCTGTATTATATACCAAATGATAGCTGGCTTACCACCTTTCCGATCTAGGTATGTACATAAGACGTGTAATTATTAATATGCAGTGATTTCATGAATAATGATTTGGGTGTTAAGTTATTTAATGATTGTATTTTATTTATTGCACAGGAGTGAATACATGTTGTTTAGGAAAATTTTAAACCTTGATTATGTTTATCCGGATGGATTTAACGCAGATGCCAAAGATTTGGTACAGAAATTGTTAGTGCTTGATCCAAACGAACGTCTTGGTTCTAAGGATACACAACGATATACATCTATTCGTTCACATCCATTTTACAAGGGTCTGGATTTTGATACATTACATTTAACAAACCCTCCACCAATATATCCATACTTACCTGGAAATAGTGAAGGACAAGAACTTCGTAGCCACTATCGAGTTCCTGATCATTTAGAACCAGGTCTTGATGATAAACAATTGACTAGATTACTTGGTCTCGATGGCCAAAGTAGTTCTACAACAACCCCAGCACCTGTACCTAGACCACGTAAAAGGTCTGGAATTCTTCAGATGAATGACGAAGAAAAGCAACACCAATTAAACCAACAGAGATGTAACAGTAAATGGCATACTTTGGTAGATGGCAATTTAATTGTCAAACAAGGATTAGTTGATAAGCGAAAAGTGAGTTTTAATGTTGATATCTTTCAATTAAATGATTTTTATTTTATCGTCCTTTTATTTTTAGGGTCTTTTTGCTAGAAGACGTATGTTAATGCTAACAATGGGTCCACACTTATACTATGCAGATCCAGTAAATATGACTCTTAAAGGAGAAATACCTTGGAGTCCACAATTACGTGTAGAACCTAAAAACTTCAGAATATTTTTTGTGCATACGGTAATGACATAATATCTATGTAAATTCTAATTAAAAAAGAATTATTATATTTTCCTGTTATGTATAAATATTGGACTTTATGTTTACAGTTGTAACATTTTTTTTTTTTTACAGCCAAATCGGACTTATTACCTAGAAGATCCGGAAGGGTTTGCTTTAGAATGGTGTAAAGCAATTGAAGAAATGCGAGTAAATACGTATGGTGTCTCTAATACTACCTGCGCTTAACAAAACCGCTGTTCGGTGACTGTTTTTAGTATAATTTTAACTAAACTATTTTTTCTTTTAAATTAAAAAAAACCTTGTTGATAACAATAATTATTTCAGTTTTAGTTGATAGTTAATATATTATTGCAGTATTTTGTTATTAAATATGATCTGCAAATGTGTCTGTGATATTAAATTTTAACTTAGCGTTAAGCAAAAAAAATCATGTGTATAATATAAAATAATTTATAAAGTTAAGTAATTTATTAAATAATTATAATTAAAATAATATGGCTGGTGACACTGCCCCTTGCCCCTGGAACAGGCTGTGCTTGATCGATAAAACTTATAGTAATTATTTATTTTATTATATTTTTTTTCTTCTCAAGATTGATTGGTTGTGCCTTTATAATTTATTTGTTTGTTTTATGTAATTTTTTTTAATTTTAAACTAGAAAATTTCCTGTCAGTTTTGTTGTTATAAGTATTGGTAACTCTTTTAAAACTTTTAATTCCGTTAATCATCTAAAATAAGTTTTTAAACCAGTTTTTAAATAATGTAAACTTTTTATAATTCTCTTATGCATTTCATTTATATATATATAAAAAAAAAACAACCTCTGCACTATTTCTATAATTTGAGAAAAAAAAATTACCATGATTTAATAATTTATTATTTTTTATGTATTTTGATTTAACTTTATTATATATATGTGTATAATTAATCCATACCCTTGTCCTCTATAGTAACATTATAAAAACTTGTTTCATTGTATTTTTTTGAGAACATTCACTATTCTAAATACATTAATTGCATGTATGCAGTATTTACTGTGATAAATTTATTGATTGTATTAAAATTAAAGAAATAAATAATACTTATATCAATTTAGATAAAGATTAATTCTAGATAATTTTTTAAAATAAATTATATAAACTATTCAAATTAGTTCCTAGAAAATTGTTAAAACACAAACTCCAACATAAATGTAGTTATTTTAAATTAAATATTATACCTCTTTTTCAATTGTTAAATAAATGTATTAATCTAATATGCCTAGTAAACTTTTCAATAGTACAATAGTAGTTTAATTGTGTATGCAAATTCCTTAAATATATGTGTATTTTTTTTTTTTAATCAAAATTTATGTAAACTAAATCATAGTCAAATACCTATGTATATGTTGTACACAACACTATATTATATTAGTAAATGTTTAAGAGTGATTATGTCTGTGTGTCTGTGTGCGTATTATTTGTGCATTAACTGTTTTAAAACTATTTACAAACAAATAACAAGAAACTTAAGGAATAGAATAACATAAGAATTACATAAGTAAAGCCAGTGTGTTCATTATGCAATAACCTTATTTTACTGATTCCTCTGTTTTAATATTGTATTTTTTTTTTTTTTTTCAATAGCAAATATTGCAATTAATTTTATGTTTTTACAATCTGTGTAAAACGGTGTTGTTCTCTAGCTTGTAAGGCCCTGGAAAAGTCTATTGCTCGTGTATATGTGAGTAGGCGAAGTGTTGTTTGAAGTTACCCGTCTTATGAATGATTTTAATTTAAATTAAAAACGTAATTAGAATAATAATGTGTAAGATAATTTAACCGATTAGGCAAATAAATAAATAAATTATAAACAATTTAAAAATATATACTGTGTATTGTATTTGTTTTTGTAATAGTACATTGACTCCTATATCTTTCCTATTCTCTCAGGAGTGGCAATATAATAATATACATAAAATGATTTTGTGTTTCGTCGAACAAAAAACTATTGCTAACTTTATTGCATTTATTTGAATAGTGACCAAAAAAACCATGAAAATTTTTACTAATTTATCTAGAGCATAGGTTTTTAACTTTTTTTTGGATCTTGGACTTCTTTTAAGTAAAAAGTAAAAGTTCGATCACCGAACCCCTCCCACAAAAAATAAATAAATTTAATTTAAATAATTTTTTAATAATAATACCATTGATTATAGAATAGACAGATGAGCCACGCTGTAGAAAAAACCGTTCGCCAATTCCATACTGTCGGCCGTTATAGAGCGCTGTAGTCGACGACTGTCGAGCAGTGCGGTGTACATCTCTCCATACTATGGCAGGGTGTTATATTTCCATGTACCCCACTAATCTCTGGACTATAAATAACTTATCAGTGAACTATTTAATAATATCATTAATTTGATAGATTGTTATATAAATACTGCATAATATCTATTATAAAACCAATGATATTAATGGTATTATTATTATTGATATGACTATATGAATTGTAAAACAGGTCTGTGGTGTATGGTGTAAACAAATAATTTTAATAACTAGCTCGCCGAGTAATCATCATTTAATTTAATATAAAATATATATATATATATATATATATATATATATCCTTATATTATATAATACATAATATATACGTATAATAATATATTATATAAAAGAACAGACTTTTCTATAATTCTATGTACCAAGTTTCTGATGACATTATTTTACATTTTTAGGATTTTTTTCACAGGTATGCTCTAATTATCAATCTCAAGCGTCCTCACGTTCAGTAACGCTAATCCCTGGGGGGTAGAGGGACACTGGCCTTTTAAATAATTTGGTGTAGGGTGGTATATGTATATATGGCGAATCTTAGTATTTTTTGTCCTTATATTTTTTTTAATCTAAGATTAAAAAATTCAATACTGTTTTCCGTAAGTTTTTCTTCAAATAGCTATAGAGAAAACTGTTATGAGCATTTGAATTTTAAATTTTTTGGAAAATTACATAACGACAACGATTTATCCTCAAACGATTTTAAATATATTTCAATATTTGTTATTCAAAAATTATAAGTAGCAGATACTTGAAATTTTCCCTAGTTATTTAGATTGGCATTTTCTTTTCATGATTTAATTTTCAAAATATTTCACTTATTTTAATGTTATATGCTTATATAGGCATTGTAAGTACTCATTTTTGCTTATTTTTTTTTTTATAAATATTCAGTGGCGTACAAACGGGGAGGGTTTCCGGGTTCAAACCCCCCCCCCAGGGCCAAAAAAAAAAGAAAAAAAAGAAAATTGTTTTATTATTGATGACGTGTAATATATTCGTAGTTTCATTATTATGCTCTGAACTTAAAATATACAACTATACAAATATTATGATAATTAAATAATTATATTGATAGGTGTTTGAAAAGTTTTATTAACTATGCTGTTTTTATTTTCCAATAGCTATTAATTTACTGTAATGTAAAAGTAAATTTTAAATTGGTAAAATAGTTGTATAAAATAATAACTGTTTATAGCAGTTTTTATCTTATTTATCTGTACAACGAAAAAAAAAGATAATGATTATTTTTGTTAAACCCTCCCCAGAGCAAGATCGAATGTACGCCACTGTAAATATTGATAACATTTTTTTTGGTCAAGTCAAAAAATTTAATATAAAGTTCATCATGTTGGTCTTAAAGTGATTAAAAAATTATAAGAATACATTGGCACAATTATTTTTTTATTAGCGTTTGAAGTTCAATTATTGACAACAATTTGTCAAAATCATAAATAATTGTAAATTTTTTTTGTAGTTAAAATGTACAAAACATTTTGTATATCTAAGTAGCTAAGAGTTGAAAATTGTAAGTTTAATAAATTTTGAAATTGATAAAGATTCACCCAGAAAAATTAAACTAAAACAATCAATAAAACAAAAGTCAAAAATTATTCGTAATAAAAAACAGTCATATTTCGAAATTAAAAATGTCAGTTTCTAAAATTAAGACCCATAATAATATAAACAATATAATACAAACACACAGATTCCCATCTTGCAATTATAGGGCTTTGGTCACTATGCAGCTTAAAAATAAACTTCAACCATGGTCGAAAGAAGAAAAAAAATCTATTTTTAAATCTTTTTTATAAATTGCCGACTACTTATAAATTTTTAAGATTACAAAAAATTAATTTACTAGCGCCTTCGACAATTCGACGATAGATTGGGCAGTCTAAATATTTACCGGGTTTTGATGATTTATTTTTAAGTCATATTAAAAAAAAATTTGAGCAAAAGTGTTATAAGGAAAAAGCGTGTACTGTTAGTTTTGACGAAATGTATATTAAAGAGTTTCTAGAATATTCCAAGGACTATGATTTTATTGAGGGATTTCAAGACTTAGGTTCTTATGGTAGGTCGAATAAAAGTGCTAATTGTGTTTTAGTGTTTATGGCTCGCGGTATTTACTCCAAGTGGAAGTTTCCTATTGCTTATTTTCTTACACACTCGACCATTAATAAAAAAATTCTAAAAAAATGTAATAATCGGGTTTGTGCCCGAAACTTATGGTATGTGACCAAGGCACAACCAACCAAAGCGTTTTGAAATTATTAGATATTTCTGAAGATAGTCCGTTTTTTTTTTTGTTAATGGTCATGACATTTTTTCTATATTTGACGTTTCTCACTTACTTAAAAGCGTACGTAACAATTGTATTGAGGCTTGCTTTCAAAAAAATGATAAAATTTTTTTCATTTAAATACATAAAAGATACATATCAGTTGGACTAATTAAATAAAAAAAGTAAAGCTCTTTTTAAATCACAGATGTCCATATCCACCCTTCTTCTTTTCAAAAAATACGAGTAAAATTGTCATCTCAATTACTGAGTAATTCTATGGCAGCAGCCATCCGCACTTGTGTAGCAACTGGTCAACTCCGTAGCAAAACTGCAATAGATACTGCAGATTTCGTTCAGTTTATGAATAATTTATTTGATTGTTTGAATAGTAGTTCGCTTTATAGTAGTAATCCTTATAATTGTGCATTAACCCACGCAGGAAATGTTAAAATATTTTTATTAGACGCTTCAAACTATTTTTTCAAATTTAAAAAAAATTAAAAACGGAAAAATTTCGAAACCACCGTGTTTTAAAGGATTCTAGCAAAGTATTAAAGGTATTCTACAGTTTTTTCGAAGGAGAAAATCAAATGACGTATCATTCATTTTAACAAATCGGTTAAATCAAGATGCTCTGGAAAACGCATTTAGTATTTTTAGACAAAAAGGAGGGTATAATAAAAATCCAACATCTCATACTATAAGAACTTCTTTTAGAAGTAGCTGTATATTTTCTTTATATGCACCAAAAGGGACTAATTGTGAAGAAACGCAAGAAACAGATAACTATAATATAATAATCGACCTAGTAATTAATGTACCTATATCATCTTTAGGTAATAAAATAAATGAAACGGATTCTAGTTGTGATACTTTTGCTTTTATATATTTTATAGGGATCAAAATATCTTTATTTATATTTTATTCAATACCCAAGATTTGCTAGTGAAGAAATCACTCGCAGTGACCATACTGTTATTATTGCGTTACAGATATTATTAATTTCATTAGAGTACACGAGCACCAATCAAATATAATCATAGGTGCAATTTAGGGGGGGGGGGCTTGAGTGTGCCTAGCACCCCCATTTTCGAAATTAGAAATTAACCTATATCCACATTAGGCGGAATCCACTGTATTTTAATTACTTCTTATAAATATTTATATTCAATTGAAAACAAAGATATAGGAACTTATTCAGTTGCACTTTGTCTCGAATATTATATGCATTTTCTTCTATGTAAAAATAAAATTACACCCATTTTGGTTATTATATTTTATAGTTTTGTAAATTCATCATCATATCAGTTTTTTCTTAATCTTAAATATGTTACCTACATTATTAATTATGCATTTTATCATGTATGCGACAATATAAATAAGAAATCAATAAATAGAAATATACAATAATATAATAATATTATATATTGCAAGAAAAAAATATAAATATTATGTATACAAAATGTAAAATGTTATTAAAGTAATGAAATAAATATAGAAATTTTTTTTTAAGAAATTAAACATTTATATAATATTTTAAGTCATCTTCAATATCGTTGATTATGTATTTCATGTTCGGTGAGCTGGCGTTAACTTCTTCATCTTGAAGTATTTTATTGAATCTATAAAATATTAAAACAGATAAATTTTATTTTATAATAAGAATTCAAAAATATTAATATTTATCCTAAAAATACCATTATCTTTGACAAGTGGTTTGCTTTTAAAAGAAGCTTTTTATCTGATTTGAATGTTTTCAAACAATGCTGCACAAGTTATCGATAAAATAAAATTAGTTTGATCGTCATTCAATAAACATATTATAATAGGGGATAACTGTTGAATAATATCTTGTAAATATTAAGATTAAATTATATTTATTGTATGTTGGAATTTAAAATGGAAAACAAAATTGGAGAAAAAAAATTCATTTACTACTTCTAAATTAATTATTTAATTATTTATTATATTAATTATCTTATTAATTAGTTTTACAAGATAAAATGAATTAATATTTATAATTCTATCGTGATTAAATATTTCGAAATTATAAGTCAAAATATCGATCGACATCCTCCGTATAAGATAAGTGTATATGTGATATGTATATTATTGTTAATAGTACCTATATGTAATTATTACATTGCTGCATCAAATCCGTTTCTTCTACGAAATCATATAGTAAATCATAACAGTCACTTTGAATGAATTAAGTTATTAGTTGAACGGTAACTGTTTTTTGTTTATATTTAAAACGAGATCCCTTCGTAATCGACTGATCTGAATCTGAAACTAAAACCGACGAAATTAATTCATCCTAATCCAACCTGTTGTCGCAAACTCCGATTTCCACCACCCTAATTTGCTGTTCAACGAATTCACAAACATCAATACTACTCAAATTATATTAATATTTAAACCGATGGCTCAGTTTCAACGATTTCAGTTGTTTTATCGTTTTATACCTCGATACATCAAATCAACTCGCATTGGTTTTGAATAATCGATAAAAGTCTGTGCAATATTTGAAACTCAGTTTAGAATAATATTAAATAGTTACCTTCGTAAATCCATTTGTTGAAGTAAATGTCATATCGTGTATTTTAACGGTCTTAACGTTGTTGACTAACTTTCTCTAAACGAATCACGTTCTAATATTAATAGATGCGCAAAAGCTTTGGCCAAGCTATATTAGATTAGAAATACATCTAGAAATAATAAATCACGTTATTAGGAGAGCTATTGAAATGTTTAATTAATAGTATTTAAAATGTTACTTTTGATAATTTCGAACCAGTCATTTGTAATATTTTACACAAACAGTTAACTTGTAGATCTCAATTTTTTTTTAAAATATCTATTATCAACCTAACAATGTTTTTAATCTCTCAATGGATATAGAATAAATACAAAATTCTAATTCAAAATTTATTATATGGTATGTGTATCTGAAATAAAATATAATTTATTTATTAGTTGGATTTAACAATAATGATGTTATTGTGGTATCTAATTGTTGCTCGGTACGGGTGTTTGTTGAAAATGTAATATTTGTATTTAATAAACGGGTCATTGGCAAAATTAAAACAGAATAATCCTAAAAATATTCATACTTCACTTATTGAAACTTATCTATTTTAAGGGACAGAGGGGTTGATAGAATTATCCCTTTAGAACTCAGAGCTAAATAAAATAAGACACAAAATGAAGTACTTGGAGGTATCCGTTATTTTTTTTTAAAATAGTTTTCTATTATTACACCTGCATAATATATACATACAATTTTCCTAAATAATATTTTTATTTTTTAGTAAATTATTTTAAGTCATTATTTTGATTACAAGCTTGGTCTCATACCGGGTACATGTAAAACTACCGTAAGACTATTTATAATGTATAAATGATTCATGAAAATTAAAAATGTTCCTTATCTGAAATATGTCCTTATCTATATAATTTATAATTGAATATAATTTATAAATAGTATTTACTATCAGATATCAATTGTATTATATTCTTCCGATTGTGTTGAGGAATCGTCTGTCAGTTGAGATTTTGGCTCTTCAAGAATTCTTCAACGTTTTTGAGGTAATCGTCGTATGCAAAAAGATTATTATTACCTCTTATCCAACGCACACGACGATTAACAGATACCCCTATGGAAATTAAAAATAATGTTATCATTGGTATCAAGATCTTCGAAAAAACACTATTTTATCTATATACATCGTACACTTTTTACAACTTACCATCAGAAAACAAAAGCACTTTCTTTTGTATCCTATTTACGTTTCCGTTATAATTATTCGTATTCATCTAAAACAGATTATTAACTTGCAAGTGTGAATTGAACAATGGACCGATGATTATAGTTATGCCTAATTATTGTAAACGTTTAATGGTATAAAAAAATATGTACTCCGGGACCTAGGAAAGCCAAAATTGAATTTGGCTCCCTATCAATACATATTTGTTCTGTATTAATTTTATTAAATATTTTATTCTCTAATTGGTACAGCTATAAAAAAAAAAATAAACATTATATGGGTATTGATGCTCTCATAACACGATCTGTGGACTTACATCTGACAATCATGGTCCTTTGTTAACCTCATTAAGACTTTCGGCGCCACCCTACTTGCCAATTTGGTTAACTTCACCATTTCCTCTATAGTCATGTTCACTGGTGGTGACGTGACGATGCCGTCTGCCCTCTGCAGCGAGTGGGCATCGACAAAGAAGTCACCCACCAGGAAGACGATTTGGTCTTCGACCCCGTACACACGAGCATTGTTCCGGGCGAACGCGATTTTGACCGGGTCACTGTCCATCGCGATGACTACATAAAAAACGCGAACCGTTACGAGTCCAATGTTAGTATACATTACGATTTAATATACAATTAGCGTGTTAAATAATATGACAATAATTGTATTTTCAAGTTGTCAGCAATATACCTTTGTGGCAGACCATGGCCAGTTGGATCGCGATTGCACCGGAACCGCAAAACGGGTCTATCACAGTACCCAGCGACTTACACCGGGAAGCCATCAGTTTTGCCAAAACTTCTGGAGGCCCGGAGTAAAGGGTCGCTGTAAAAATCGTATAATGATGAAAACACAAACGGAGTCGATACTATAACTAAAAACGTTCGTCTCTCTAATATACCTGGGTCTGGCATGATGCCGTCGTTGAATTTCGAAAATCGTGCAAACCGATTTTCCCACAATTTATAGGTGACGTTCAATTCCTGGGAATAGTACGTCGTGATTAGTAAACATTGGAGAGTTCATTCAGATAATTATATATATATTAGGATATCCTGTTGATTAGTATCGTGTAGTATGTATTTGTTTGTTTGGTGTTACCGGGGCTGGGCAGTATCTTAGATACTAGTATTTATGATACGTATCTGATATACAATTGTATCTTGTATATGGTATCGTGGATTTAAATACTTTTTTAAACTTGTATCTAGTATCTTTTTATGATTAAAGACTAGATACAATCTATTGTTATGTAATAATAATTATTAATAATTTAGATTAAAGTTCTTCACGTCAAAGTAATTCACTTGATAAATGAGCAAATTTTGTAATCAGTAAGTTATATAAATCCAGTTTATCGGCAGAATGTTTTCTTAATTTTATCGCGCTAAACATTTATTTTAGACTATGTGATTGTGCATGATCGGTTCATATTTTCTGTCTACGCGGTTTTTTGTGTAGTGTCGTCCGATTTTAAGTATCTATTACTAAAAACATGGATAATAATGTAATTGTTAATATTCCAAAATCCTTATATGGAACATTCTATGCAATATTAAATTTTGATGAAAAAAATAAATGTAAATTGAAAATTTAAATTATTTACTATTAATAATTATAAATATTTATTATTAATTATTAGGCTTAGGGACTTATAGCTCTAAAAAATACACAAATATGCATGCAAATATGCTTCTAAAATCATTAAAATATGCATTATAATATGCATTTATATGCATTAAAAAAAAAAAAAAAAAAAATGACCACATAGTAGACAAAATAAAACGTGTTCATGTAAATGTATCTTTAAATTCCGAAACAAAACTTTGTAGTCGGCTACTCGTAAACTGTTGTACTTTCGGCATTACACAGTATTTATAAAATATACGCGTACGACACTTTACGTATGATTCGACGTTGTGTGGTGCAAAAACAACGACGAATAATAACAATACCATAGTAACCAAACATTGCGCCCAGGGCGAAACTTCAAAATGCGCCCTTACGTATTTTCAATTTGAAAATATTACGCTTATTAGATATCATTTTCGATGATTGTTTTGATTATAATATGAAGGCTTTTAAAAATTTTGTAAACAAAATATACGACGTTGACCGTTATAATTTTTAACATTAAACGCAAGATGTTCATTTTTGCATTCTCCCAGGAATTGCGCTCGGAGCGTAGGCACCTCTCGCCACCCTCTAACTACGGCCCTGGATAACAATCAACTGAACTGGACACTAAACAAATAATCTATTATTTTATATCAACTATTATCTTTATTGACATCCGGTCGATATCTAGCGGGTTATACGGTCGATACAGGTTTATAGTATTATTTATACTTACACGAAAATTATAACGAGATATGAGAGGTAGTTTGCAGATAGCATATTACTGGAAGTATTAAGTTCCCTTATTATATTTTTCTTTCGATAGGTTGAAATATGTATCCATAGTTTTTAATTTTAAATTTGGAAAATTTGTCAAAATTTGTCAAAATATGCAAAATAAACATAAACATTTTAAAATAAGCACTCTCCTGCAAAAATCTATCAAATATGCAAAAATATGCACATTCAAATTTTAGATTTGATATCATGGTACCGATAAACGAATTTATTTCGCACTTTGCTATATTTAACAATAATTAAAAAAAGTATGCATATGCTAGAAGTCCCTAAGTCTATTAATTATATATATATATATAGCAATTATTATTTATTATTATTAATTGAAAATAGTCTCTTTAAAAGGTAACCAGGAATTAATTTTAAAACATGGGATATAACATAAAAAAAATTTTTTACTGTAATACTCCATATCATTTTTTTAAATTTAAACATTTAATAGTTAACAAATAAACTTTGTAATTTATAAATATATTTATATTCTTTATTATTGTACCTAATGTAAATGAATAAACAAATAAATAAATAAATATTAATAAATGAATAAATTATCTTGTATCTTATATGTATCTTAACTACCTGTATCTTGAATCTAGTATCTTTAAAAATATCGAAGTATCTTGTATTTAGATACATTTTTTTAGGTATCTTGCCCAGCCCTGGGTGTTACACTGTTAGCAATCGTTTTACTGTGATCGACTGTTGCAAACGATCAGCGGCAAATCATTTTGCCGCCCTCAAGAAGTTCACGAGGTATTGAAATGATAACGTTTTTTTTTTTTTTCAAATCCACTCAAATATTCTTGTGTGCGCTTGTAGGAAACAAATTTTGGTTCCGACAAATGAAAAGCGTAAATTTTGATATTCTATAACTACACTGCGCACAGAAATATTAATATTTAATACAATTTATAGTTAATAAACTATAATCACCGCTAAAATGTTTCTATTTTTGAAAATTTTGGACCCCTGGACCCTCCCCCCCAGTTACGGCCTTGTGATATGCACTAGGGGGTCTTATTTTCTTACGAGATTACAAATATACGTGTTCACGGATACCGCAAGCACGTTAATGTAATAAAATAAAAAAAAACGTATGATTAATATACGTGAATTAATAAATGCTGAAGCACGTGAACACGTATTGTAGTCATAATCACTCGAATACACATAATATTCTTATATGGGTTCAAATATCGGATTTTAAAAAAAAGTACCGATACCGGTAAAACCCATATTGCCAATATTGGCCGATAATTATATAATCAATATGGGTTTGAATATCAGCACTAGTATTTATCCTCATTGTGGTATCATTATGTTTTTTTCTGTTTTCTAGCGGTTTATGCTTCAGTACAAAATTGAATCATTTACAGACGATTTAGCTTTTTTGCTTTTTGTCTGGTTCTTATAAATTTCCAAATGTTAGGATGCATAGCGTTTAAAATAGATGATAATCCAATATGCCATCCTTCTACTAAATTATTGGTTTTTGGGACGCTATACTCATCAACGTAGTAATTCAAAATTGAAATTGAAAATTTTGAATTTTTCTTTTCCCGCTTCTATCCATTTTACCATCCCGCGTTTATTCAAAATAATCAAGTAATCGCGATAAATCATATTTCAACTGTCGATAAAAAGGAATGTCAATAAAACGTTCAAAATATTTAACAACAGAATCATATGCCAAGACGTTGAATTTCTTATTTCGAATGTAAAAGTGGGATATTCTTTGTATTGTTTTGATCGATCATATTCTTGAATGTGTCTACAAACAGATTGCGGAATGTGAAAAGGAATGAGTGAGAATGTTGTCATATGTAACAAAAACCTTAAGGCGTAAATACGTGAATTCACAAATTCATGGGTATACGCGTCAATATAATAATTCACGGATATACGCTAATAATATTATAAATGCATGGAAAATGTTAAGCAACGGGTCTTAAAAATCCAACCTTAATTTTAAGTGAAATAAGGAGCACTAATATACATACAGAGAGATAATGAATGATAGAGAGAGAGAGAGAGAGAGAGAGAGAGAGAATGAACTAGAAATTACGTTGAAAACCACCAAAATGCAATGGGGTCATTCACTGTGCGAGGAGCACATAATTAACGAACGGGGTTTATGTACATCACTGTATTATGTACACAAAAAGATACATCCTAAATAAAAGCGTATCCAAATGTTATTCATCGTACGCCGTGCTTTTCAAAAACCAAAAGAAAATATGCATACATCAACCAACGCTTGAATAGTGCACTAATATAATATTAAATTATCCTTTCTCGCCTGTATAGGTAAATACTAAAGGTAAAGATCAACGAGAAATGAAAACATCACGTCTTGATCAGTTGATTGTCCACCATATTTTTGAAATCGCTCGAGGACGGAGCATAGGTGTGTTTCGTGTTCGGATTCGGAATGCGACGCAATTAAAACGTCGTCAATGTAAGCAAATACGAAATCCAAACCGCGAAGGATCTTGTTAAGACGCTGAAAGGTTTGTGCGGCATTTTTTAGGACAAAGCACATGACCGGAAATTCGTACAGCCCAAAAGGTGTTGTCACGGAAGTTTTCGGGATGTCCTCGTGTGCGACTGGAATTCGATGGTATTAGGTCAAGTTTGGAAAAAATTGTTCTACCGAAAAGATGACTGGAAAAGTCGTGTATGTGTGGAAGAGGATACCGATCCGGTTTAGTAACGGCGTTTAATCGTCGATAGTCGCCGCATGGACGGAAAGAGTCGTCTTTCTTACTGACAAGCAACAACGGGCTGGCCCAAGCGCTGTCCGACGGTCAGCATATACCTGAACGAAGCATAAATTCGAACTCTTTTCGCGCTATGGCGAGATGATCGGGAGCGAGGCGACATGGACGCGTAAATACGGGTGGTCCAGTAGTAAATAATATGTACTCAACGTTATGCGTAAACGCGGCGGGAACCGGTGATTCACGCGTAATCTTGGGGAATTCGGCGACTAACTTGGTCCACGTAAGCGGCTGAGAAACACGCAAATAGTTGAGGGAACGGTACTTACGGTAGCAATCGTCGATGCAAGTCCGGAGTTCAGATCGACTAGACGGTTAGGGCGGACGTCGACCAGTAATCCGAAATAATGGAGGAAATCTGCTCCTATAATGCCTCTGTTGACATCTGCGATCTCGAACGTCCACATAAAAGGCCTAGTGAGCCGCAGGTCGAGATTGAGCGACTTCTGCCCGTAAATTTGGATTCTTGTTCCGTTAGCGGCAGTGAGGATGGTTACGGAGACCGGTCGCTGACCAACAGACGATGGCAGGACTGATATGTCAGCTCCAGAATCAATGAGGAAACGTCTGCCGGAACGTTCATCGGTGACGAAAACTCATCGACAGTTATGAGCGGCGAAGGACTGGTCTGTCTTCGCCGCTCCTATCAGTTTTCCGCCGGTTTGAAATTGCAAGGAGATTTACAATTTTTAGCGTCCACGCCGAAACGGTCGTGATAAAATTACAAGTTGATGTTTTTGGAACGAGATTTCGAACGTGACCGTGAACGGCCGTGATAAGGCTTGACAATGGACTGCAGTGTTACCAAACTCGCAACTTGCGTCGTGAGTGCTGCGATCGCGTTTTCCATCGCCGGAATCGGTCAGTTGACGCATTGGTACTGTTGACGACATGGAGGTCGAAAGAGGTACCGGCCTCCATTACGGATCGGTACGTGCAGCGAGATCCTCCAATGGACCGTCTTGACCGGCGATAATGGCACTAATAGTGGCAGGCAATTTCTATAGTCAAAATTGTTTAAGAACATCTTCCCCGATGCCATCCGGTAAAATGCTGCGCATATCTCGCAGTAGTTGGGTTGGTCGGCGATTACCCAAACCACCGGGTTGGACGAAACTGCGGAAACGTGTTTACTGAGGAACTGTGAATATGGTGATGAGGCGTTGTTTGAGGCTCTCGTAGCAAACGTTCGGGCCGATGAGGTCACGGATAGCTCTAACGCCTTCTTCATCTAAAGCAGCAACTACGTGGTTAGCTCTGGAGACGTCCGAACGTAGTCGGTGATTCGCGAAAACAGCTTCTGCGTGTAAAAACCACTCGCGTGATGAGTGTCGCCAAAACAAGGGTAAACGAACCTGCGCGACGCTCGCGATGGAAAAGCTATCAGTCGGCAGAGTAGGGGCTACGGGAGACGAATTCGTCGTGTCGCTCACGAGCGAGTCATTCTCGAGCGAGAGTAAATCACGGCACTCGTTTCCGGAAGACATACTGCGTGTCGAAGAGAAAAAAAAATAAAAACAAACTTGAGGTCACCAGTTCTGGGTGTGATAATAGGTTTTAACTAACAGAACATATTAAAAAAGAAAGTAAACGAGATTAGATTTAAGTTGATAGTTTATTAATAAAATGAATAAACAATAAAATTATGTCGGAGCAATTCTGGCTACGAGAGTAAAGAGAGAAGAAAGGACGACGCGACAAAAGAAAGCTACACCGGGGAAAAAAGACAGTAAGGCCCTTTTCACACTCACACGGTTTCCGTGTACACGATTTTTCGACAGTTCACTAATGTATGGTTATTTATGGAAGGTTTCACACGTTATCTCGACCGCGCCGTGTCCGTGTTGTTTCCGTACAAGTCCACACGGTTCAAACTTCCGTCACGTATCAGTAATGCATTATATTATTCGATACCGTTCACACATACACGGCACGGACGTACACAGTCAATTATTTGTTCTGCGATCTCTGTTATTTTTTTCTGCCATTCTGCCTTGTTCTACCAGCACACACAATAATAACAATTATTATGGATGTAGATTTATCAATCTCACTCATAGAAGTTCGTCCAGTATTGTGGGATAAAATATCTAATGTATATAAAGATAGGATTGAAACAAAAAAGGGTATATATGGGTGAATCCAATAGATTCTTTCTCGTATATTTCTAACACGACGTTGACGACGTCTATTTAAAAGTATAAGAGCTACTTTTTTTTTCTTATCCATTACCACAATCGTGAATAAAAGAATTAACAGAACGAATAAACTTGGTTTATTATATTTATTTATTATATTTATAAGTCGGCGGGGCTGCCAAACGCCACCGCTCGACCAACTTGAATGTAGCTTTGATTGTCGTGCCGTCACGTTGGTAGCCAAAATTGATCGTGGTGAAATTACCGCCACAATATATTTGATAAAACGATATCGTGAATGATAAATAAATTGATAATTATCGTATTTGATAATTTATCACATGAGCTTCAAAATTGGGCACGTTCTATTATCTCAGTAATAGCTTTTCCTAATGCTTTAAGACATTTAACAAAGTCCTCGCGAATTTTTTTCGAGTCAGAATCTTCATATCTTATACTGATTGAATATGAACTTTTTTTTTATTGCAAATGGCAGTTGTTGCATGATTATTATATTTTAATTGCTATCACTATTCGCTATCTTATTACGATAATACAATAATTAAGAACGTTTCCTAACGTCCCGCCAAAGAAACGCAAATACTATATGATAATAAAACAGGAACATTGATTTTCGATTATAATTTAAAACGGAAATTTAAAACAGTGATATAAAATATCAATGGTATCATATTATGTTATCAGAATATAACACCGTGCGTCCATACCTGAAAAGTAAGAGAGCGTATAGAGGTCAGTACTTTCAATAATAAAAAACAGTATAAAATACTGTGAATGGGAGGGGGCACGGGCCCAATGTCCGCCCTTAAATACGGCCTTGCAAGATATAAATCAACACCATGCAAAGAGAAGCTTCTAGATCTTGAAACGGTTGTAAGCAAATCAAAAGAGGTTTAACTCTCCGTGAAGCAGCTGCCTTAAACGGCATATATGAATCCCAAGGTTTTACGACTTCTCACTGTAAAATACAACGTAAGACCAATGAATATGCATGTCGTGCATCTACTAAATTATGTAATTCCAATTGTCATATAAAATTGTAATGATATTTAAATTTTACTCTATGAATTAACAATAATATATTTTTCCATATTATCTGTCCTCATGTTAGTTCTACTATCGCTTAAAATTTGTTAAAAGAGACTAAATGAAAGTTCAACATCAACAGATGTTAAAGGTGCAAACTTCATTGTTTTCACATAAAATGTATATATGTAAATATGTAATTATATAACTCTATGTTGTGAAAACTACTCATGAGCTAAGGACGTGTTAAAACAAATTTCAATTCCCAGTTTCTCACACGAAAACTCTAAAAATAAAACACAAGAAAAAGAAAACATGATCATAGTTGCTCACTTAAGTCTCAAAGTACTGAGGTATATTTTAATTAGGTAACTATGTTATAAGATTTTATAAATATATTATTCTAGTCTTAGATAATATATTAATTAATGAATGATAAATGATTCATTAAAAAGACTGTCACAAAAAGTTAACTGATCATATAACTACTTATTTTTTTATATTACTTTAATTCTGTCATTTTTAATATTTATGCCGTCGGTTGACAAAATGAGCGCTGCGATGTCTGTACAGCGGCACCGTGCCGTCAAAAAATACTTATTGGACTAAAATGTTATTTAAGATAAGTCATGCTACGATTTGGGGAAGGGTACCCTGAAAGAACCTTAGATCAAAAAGAGCGCAATGAGTCGAAAAACTTTAGGAAGCACTGAACAATCCTACAGTGTTATGTTAATTTGAATCATTAATTTGAGTGTAAATAATCATAAAAAACTAATATTGTATTTTTTATTTTAATATGTATTAAATAAATGCAATGTTTTATTAAAATTGCTTTGGCCCTTATTTTAAAAAAAAAATTAATTTAGCCATATCAATCTTTTCTATCAACAACTTAAACTTATTTCACAGTTTCGAAAACGGCAACACTGATTA